CACATGGGACTTCTCTTTTGACAGAGCATAGCAAACCCCGCTTCCACTACAATGTCAAGAATAAAGATTTACAATCAAATGCTAGAACGCTTCTTCAAATATCCATGTTTTTTCATTCCCATACATTACATCCATCTCCCTCTCAAGGGTGAAGCAGTGAATCCATTCAGTAAACACCTGGATGAGGATCTCATTGAAATATATTTCATAAATAGTGTTACAACAGTGACGTCACTGAGCTTGAGCTCATCACCAGCTACACAACAAATATTCACTGTTGAGTAGTGGGAACACAGTCAGGATTTTATGATGAAGCCAACATTAATTTTTCTCTGCACTTGAATATACGTCACCACGTATCTTTCTACGTGATTGCACAATTTTGACGCTTGTAGATGAGTACGAAGTGAAGAAACTTCTGAATAAATCTACTCCTCTGGACACAGGTAATTACTGAATTTTCATTCAACTGTAATTCTTTCCTTTCGCTGTTGATGCAATTATGAAACATGTGAGTGACATACTGATAACACTGACAAGGATGTGATTAGCACACAGTGCGTTCACTCAGTGTTTGACTGCTGAACTTGAAATATACATTCATTCGATTATACCGAATCCACTGGTGATTGTCTCGTATATTTGTCTACTTATTCATATTGATTTTATGAACACCCTCATTCTTTCTATGCATGCAAAGGATAAAGAGCATTTCAAATGTGAAAATGCATTGTTTGTGGTCAATGTGAGATATTTGGTGGCAATCCTCACCGTGATGTTCATCCACCCAGCATGATGGTCACACTTCAAACTGGACTGATAGAATTCAGTTTGCAAGAGAAGAGAAGACAAATCGTATGAGATTACTCACTGTCTAGTGTCTAGTGAAAGTAGTCAGGCACCATTTTTGAGATAGGTATCAATTTGATGGATTCTTGATGTTGCATACAAAGCTGATTTGTTCAGTGTATCGTGGAAGCTGGATGAATAACGGAATTGAGCGAGTAGTAAGGATATCTTGAAATCAGCAAAAGTATGTTGGATTTAATTGATGAATGTCAATTGGACAGTTACCCTACATGGTTCGTTCCATTAAGTTCACCACCATCAATTAGTCGAGAAGGCAGGCATATTCAGATGACCAGTGTCTAAAAGGATGGAATGTACAAGCTGTATTGCATTGCAGCATGTAAACGTTGCACACAAACAAAGGCCTTCTTACAACTTTTTTTTCCTCCACGTTCCCCATTGGAACATAGGGCTTCAAGCTAGTGGCTTGAGGTTTCTGTAGCAGTGTTTATTTTACAGGATGGGGTTGCTAGCCTCATGCCCAACCTTTCCTCTTCACCAGCATTATTTCTGACATGGTCGGCGAGCGTCCTAACCGCTATGACACAAGTAAATGTAATTAGCTGTTTAACAGTCTGAATTACAGTGAGCTTACACCTGTTGACGCATAGATATTTACCCGTACTATCTCTTGTAGGAAGTGCAGCGCTTTTGCAGAAAATCAAAGAGAAATGGGAAGCCAGAGCGAGATTGTATGCTGCTGAAAGTGAGAGTGTAGAGCAGTTTACACCTTTTTCTTTCCTAAGTATGCGTCAATTCGAATTTCTCAGTACTTTTAATTAATAGAACAGTCAAGTGTTGAATGAAACTCACTGTATACGGCATCATGGTTATCCCACACACACGGCTAATTTCAGGCTCACAAGGCATATGCATGCAGAAATTAAATAATGTCAACTCTTTTGTGTCAGTCAGTCAGTGAGCCAGTAATTGTTGTTCCTCTCAAATTGAACAGTCCCTAGCACATCAAGTAAATCTCGTATATTCTCTTAAATTTCTTGTAGATGCTTACCTGCCTAGATCATCGACAAAGTGTTTGAAGAAAGAGGGTGAGTGTTCGAGGATCAATTTTCACTATCTGCAACATTTTCCATGTGAAACAAAAAATTGAATGCGGCATGGAACCGATGTGGATGGAAGAAACGACACTGTTAGACAAGGCACAATGAAGGGCTATTCACGGTGTTCTTTCATTTTGCAAGAGAATGGATTGTCAGTTCATAACACGTAGCCATTACATTGATGATGATTTATCTGTCACAATGTTATCGTCATTTAGTTTTGACAACCACAGTACAACTTTGCTCGATAATGATTATCACGTTGACCCCTGTTGACTGTTCCATCGTGGCCTCTCATTTAGAGCTTTGCAAATCCGTCTGTTTCTGTTCACAGAATGACACCAATTGACAGAGCAAGGTATTCACAGGATGCTGTGTACGTCAAAAGTATATCTTACTATACAATGGATTGATTAACAGAATGCATGCGAACCCACATAATATTTCACATCTTGTTCTCCAATTAAATCGAGCCAGGTGGAATTGACGCCACTCAACAAATTTTGCACACACACTGACAAGTGTGATTCACATCAGTTGGCAAGTGGTATGCCACATTATCTGCATAATGGCCTGGATTCACTTCAACTTCACTAAGCACGGAACATGAGTGAATGGCACGACATGAATCTGAAATGACGTGAATATCCAGTATATTGTGATTAGTAATTGCACCTCAACAGCTTGGTGCGATTGTTATTTTCCTTATTACTGTTTTTATGGATTCTGAGTGGATGATGGGGCTTCAACAGCACGTTTGTTCCTTTCTTCTGCATACCTGTTTGACTGGATGGCCCACGTCGGCCCATAATCTGTCTTCTCCTCCTCGGACCACATCCCTCATGTCACTCTTGGGCTTGCGCTCAAGTTTTTGTTTCCCAGTAAAGTTTCACTTCATGTAGAGAGATATAGAGTAGAAAGCGGTGTCAGTCGACAGTTTCTCCAACCTGTGCCCAATCTATCACACTTGGCTTGTTCCCAAAGATTCTTGTTGCTAAATCTTTCTGGTCAACATACCACTTTACGTTGATTACGGATACGGCAAAAGAAGCTTCCGATAAAGATCTTCAGTGGCCTCTTAGAAATGCATTTCGTGAAGCGATAGTCAAGTTTCTGACCCACACAGACTCATAAACTATCTTGACATCGGCGCTGAAATTGAGAATTTTATTTTTTCTTTTGAGTGTAGGAGATTTCTTAGCTGGTTTAGACAACCCCTTTCGTGCCGACTACGTGTAGTGGAAATGATGCTGCTGAGATGAGTGGAAGAATTGACTCCCTTCAACTTTCTCCCCTTGATTATTATTATTATTATTGTATCCTTTAACTCCTACAGGAACATAGGGCTTCAGCCGTGCGTCTCCATTGCGTTCTGTTCTCTGCTAGAGTCTTCACCTGGCTCCAAGTCCTGTTTTTGTTGCTCATCGGTGCACTAGACAATCTTTTGTTTCACCATCCCTCTCTCTTCTATTAGTTTCCAAGTGTCCGTAGTGAGCCATTGTTTGTCCTGTCTCCTCTTATTTCTGCCTAGAACTTCCATGCTGGTTTGACTCCACACTGTTTTCAAGTTGTCCCAGTGTTTTTCGACGCTGACCTCTTCGCCAGTGTTGATTTGTGTCTCGGCTTTTTCCCTCGTTCTTGCAGTGAAAAAGTCCTCTGAATCCTGGTCCTTCAGTTTTTGAGTGTTGAACTTGGCTTGTGGTCTATCTGCAGCTCCTGATTCTCTGAAAGCTTTTAATTTGATTTGGATTGTCCCTTGTACGAGATAGTGGTCTGAGCCAATGTCTGCTCCTCTTCTTACTTTTGTGTCCAGCAGGCTGCGCCTCCACTTCCTTGAGATTGAGATGAAGTCGATTTGATTTTTGGTTCGCCCATCTGTTGACACCTGTTTAGCCGTGTGGATATCCTTGTGTTTGTAAACGCTGCCACCAATCACTAGTTCATTGAAGGCGCAGAATTCGGCGAAGAGTTCTCCGTTTTCATTCATTTCTCCGAGAGCTTCTCTACCCATGATGAGTTCCCTTCCTGTGTTGTCTGATCCCAGTTTGGCGTTCATGTCCCCCATTAGTATTTCAATGTCACCAGCCGGAGTATTGTCCATTGTTGTCTGCAGTTGTCTGTAGAATTCTTCTTTCTTTTCGAGGTCTGCGTTGTTTGTGGGTGCATAGCACTGTATAATTGACACTTTCCTTCCTTTGGAGTTGAATCTGGCGGTCATTATCCTAGGCGAGATCGCCTCTCATTGCATCAGGGCCTTCGTTGCCGTTGGTGACATCATGATAGCCACGCCCTCGGTGTGCGAGTGGTTCTATTCTGGGTGACCGGAGTCGATCACTGACTCACCCGTTGACAATTTGGTGAGTCCATTCCCATTCCATCTGCTTTCACATATTCCCAGTACTTGAATTCTATATCTTTTCATTTCGTTTGCGATCTAGGCAGCTTTGCCAATCTCGTACATAGTACGGACATTCCATGTCCCCACAAAGACCTTTTCTTTTGTCTCAAGGAGATTTATCGTGCTGAAGTTTCTATAGCAGCTTTGTTTACAGGGTGGGGTTGCTAGCCTCACGCCTGAGAAGGGGGATTGTTACATCAATTTATAATTTAGAGAGAAGCGACCTTGTGGGTTGCTCCCCTTAAAACCAGGAAAACAGGGAATAAACATGCAGAAAAACACCAGCACGGGAAAATAATTCACAACAAGAAGGGTAACAAGCGACAACAACAATAATAATATCACAGTCAATTACAGTTACCCAAAATGATACCAAAATCGTAGACTCACTGACTTGAGTCAACTTGAACATGTAAATCCATCATTATATATACAATTATAGCTATTAGTTAGTGTTAATCAAGTACAGAGTGTCAAATCGATAGTTATAGGTGTTATTGATATACAATATTATATCCAAGGATTCAGTGTTTCAAAGTCAAATAATTGTAAAAGTTTTTCGCAACCTTTTGATAAGATATTCCACAAAAATCAGAGTTTTAGGTAACTACGCAAATGTAGCGCAGTTATCGAGCTCTTTACACTCATTCAACTACCCGATGAATAACGCTGATATTTTTCTCTCCCTGAAGACAATACACCAGTGAAAGAGAACTTGGTGATTGGAGAGAAACGAATTCGAGAACTGAAAAGTAGGTTCGCAGTTGCGTTGATCTACTTGTGTAAACGCATATACATATATGATTTCTGATGTGATATCGCACGTTATCTGGCGAACATTCTGTTATAACATGATGCAGAAGTCACAAAACCAAACAAATCTTGTAGTTCATGTGGACATTATTTCTAGTTAGTGTGGTTGAATGTCTGCAAATGTCAATTTACTTCTGGTTTGAGCCAGTCAAACCTTTGACAGACCGGATGACCAGTTCACGATGCACAGTAACAGGATTCAACTAACCTCAGGTTACCTCCAAACAAGCGACTTATCAGGCTGGCTGCATACATATAACATATGAACTGATGATTTACGCACACACGGTTGAGAGTACTACTGTCAATGAACGAAGCAGAGAACGAGGCAGTCAGAATGTGGCAGTGTATTCTGAAATGACGAATCATCACTTTGCGTCACTCAGTGTACCCAGTGCAAAATGTGTGAAGAACGCAAAATGATGTTTCAATCGGTCATTAAGCAGTAGCCGGTGTGATGTGTCTAGTCCTCAGGATGTTGCAGACTGAATTTTTATCATCAGTCAATATTTGCAATGTGCTCAAGCCATATGCTGGGCGACTGGCCAAAATTATGCACACTGGATGAATATTAGGTGATGCCCTGCATCCGATCAAGCAACAGAAACGATGATCGCGAGGAATACTTGTCGACCGGCGGTGTTATTCGAAGACTACTTGCATCCTCAGCCTATTCAACACTTGACCAACCACACACAATGAGGTGAATCGGCAAATTAAGAAACATATTTCCGCAGCTTCCTGCCGATTACCCCCAATCATCCTAAGACAATCCGATGAACTGCATTGGAAGTTGAGTGTGTAGAGACTGATCCTCGGAGATCGGGAAGACAGTGAGAAGGGTTGAGACGAATAATGAATAGACCATTTATTTTCTGTTCAAAATCATATTTTAATCTTCGTAAACTTCTATTGACCTCTAACAGTCAATGATCACAATTCACTGTATAATTTTTCAGAGGCTGCCAAAATGAGGCTTTTCGAAGCAGCTGAAACATACAAGAAATTCACATTAAATCTGAATGATACACGTAAGTAGAATGTAATGAGTGTGTATGAAAACAATATTTCGAAGAATTGTCATAGTTAGTGAGCATTTGACTGCAATAATGAGCCCTCGATGATGAAATAAATGAATCGCGAATACTCGACGACAGCACTGGTACCATCAAAGACAAATTTCAGATTGTGAGACATTAGAATTGGCAAATCACTCGACTGCATGTCTCCTTAACTGTCTTTCGTGACAGTCCAGTCATCACTATCGCAATTGTCCTATCACTTCACGCGTGTAATATGCAATCTCCATGAGCTGGTTTGCAGGATTGTGATTTGTTTCAAGGCTGATCATAGAATGATGTGGTGACGTGTGGCCGATTGAGTGAGTGGCTGCAGCAGAGCTGAAAGTGTTTATTCCTCAATTCTGGATTACTGTCACGTTGGGGACATGAAGTAACCTCATTGCGAGACTTGTTAAGCCTAAGGTTAATCGCCAACCAGTCAGAAACATTTATTCTCCTGTGAGCTGGTGGAGATTTAATGTTGCTAACACTGTTCAGATATCAGGTGTTTACCCTTGTTAGGATAGTCTGTTCACAATTACCTCATATTCTTGTGTTGAACTAACAACTGAACAAGCATGTAATACCAGGTAGAACTGGACATCTGTTTCGTCTTAAATTTGATTGTTTATTCAACCTTATCAAATGGTTTTGATGAGAAGTGATTACACAGGCACTCACCAACCGGGATTCGAATCCAAGAACTACTGGTTACAACGCGTGCTGGTAGATCATTCAATCACTGGGACCCGATGCAGTGACCAGTTTCGGTCGGTTTTCGACATGAAAGTTTGCACATGGGTGCGGCAGTTCAAGTCGCCACACACCAGTTTATGAACGTTCAATTCCACCAATTCTTGTTTGTAGCTTGGCAACCAACCAATGTCACGGGCGTGTATTTATCCCTTCACTCGACGTCGTGGATCACAGTGGTCATAACCTCTCACCAGAACTACATGTCAATTCGTACTGCATAGAGGCGGTCACTGATGGACATCAGATTAATTTTCATGAGTTACTTCGTAGAGACTTAATGAGTTGCAAGTTTCATCACATATTCGTATCAGTTGGAGAAGCATTTTCCATTGGTACCCTGAATCTCTGGGAATAGGAAATAATTCGTTGGATTTCATTGGATGTATCGTGATATCTTTTAATTGTACATGCAATCGCTGAAATTGTTTTGTGACAATGTAAATTCATGACGAGTGTTCCTGGTTCAAGTACAGGTGTTCAGTTTAATAGTATCTTTTGACCTGACCTATGTCATTGAGAAGCCTGACGTGTTTTATACGCATCATCTACATTGGCGAAATTTAATGACAAATTTCCCTTTGAATCTTTCAGAATTCGATTCATTACGAAATAATTTCCTATGGACTCCACCGATTTTCATTGCTAGCATAGGTAAATATTTGCATTATTCTGCATTTTTACTGAATGCTCGATTTTAATGTTGGATATTTAAGAATTTGCATATTTCTGTTGTGTTCTCAGTAAATCTATCCGCCGTGTGTCCACATCAAGCAGTAAAGTTGTGACGAAATGCGAATTAAATTGACAACTGAATTCACCTATTTCCTGTGTTGAGTACATACATGGATCAACATGTAAATGTTGCGCAGTAATTGACTGTGTTTCTTGTCAGTCCCAGGCGGTGAATTTTCGATAGATTTCGGGGTATGCTGGTGGAATTTTGACAGTTTTGTGCTGATATAATGTGAACTTGCGGGGAACTTTGGAGATTTGTGTGTAATTTAGGTGTTTTTGAGTATTCGAGACAAAACGGAGTAATTCACTTGCCTCCAAATTACCTCACATTTTTCTACTTCAGGAGGTCGATGAAGCATTGAAACTTGTAGGTAATTTGTCGGTCATTCGAAAGAAATGAGACTGTCAGGGAATCGGAAGTACCATTTGAATAGATGATGCGTGATTCGTTCCCTCAGGAACTTCAGTTAAACTTCCTGTATTATATTGGTATGAGAACGTCAGTTTTCATCTCACCCTCTTCCCTACACTAAAGGCATAGGTTTCAACTGAACTGGTGATGGCGATTCAGCTTGCCTCCACATGAAACATTATGTTTCACTGCTCTCTCAGCGTCAAACATTCTGTGAATTTCGTGTCTCACTATCTTCCGCACTTCATTTCAATCCATAGAAATTTATTTTCATTTCCTGTCAGATGCACTTTTCGAAAAAACAGAAGAGGTGGAGAATCAACGACTTCATTATTTACTATGTAAGTCAATCTGAAATCATAACAGTTTCATCCCCCTTAGTACTTTGTCCAAGAGAAAGAGCGAAATTCTTAATAAACACAGTGGTTGCGGAGTTTTACATACTAACAAAGTAGGTTCCTTCTGTGCAACTTTTCTTCATGGTGAAATGTATTCATTAATTCATTCATTTATTCATACTTCGCGCAATTGATTCATGAACATTTCATGACGTTCGCTGCATATCCCTCACCTGATAATTGAGTGCAATATTCTGTATGAAGTTGCAGTGAATGCACTGGATATGTTGGAGAGATAATGAAGCATTTCAGTTAACATTTACTCGACAACAATACGGATGGAATGAGGTCTAAACCTTAAGCTGATCTTGAGTGTTACCTGAATGACACGTTTGTGTGGGTGCTTCGAGTGGCAGAAATGTGTCACTGTCAACTGTCCCACTCCCTCACTATATTTGTTTTATCAACTCCCACAATACATCTGCATCCTAAATGACATAAGAATGACAATTGTATCTGTCTGCACACAGACATGGTCGGTGCATAGCAAGGAATGCAATAGTAAATTAAAAACCACTTTTACGTACACTTTTTGCCTAAAGGTTTCACCATTCGACGTTGACCTCTGGGGATTAATGTTGAAGTCGATTGGTTCGCCTGGCGGTAGTCAGTCAAGCATCCACATCATTTAGCACGCAGTATTGTTACGATAGGCTGCACGTGTGCGCTCTCCAACTAGATACCTAGCTGGTTAGGCAGACATCACTGCCGAAACAAAAGGTATGTATCTGAATAAAAGTTTATCACTCTACAGTCAAGGTAGAAACACAGAATCTACATACTTCGTTCATGCAACAACACCTCGCTTCAATTCACACAGAAGAAGAACAACCTACGGCTGGCTGATGCAGTTCAGTTGAAGTATTGATGCAAGTGTGGTATTCAAGGAGTGCCATGAAACACGGAACTCTTAATCCATACTTCGCTGAGTTGTGGCACATTTCGATAAGTGGAACATTATCACCATCAGACAGACACCGTCCACGGGAAGCTTTGTTGTCGAATTTTGCATTGAATGTAAGTGACATCATTCAAGCAACAGTTTCATGTCAATATTCAGCATCGTGACAACATCTTAGGGTTTAGATGGCATAAATACCATGGTTGAAACAGATAGTTAGTCAGTCAATCAGTGTTGATCTTCGTGTTCATTCTTCGCTACGATTATGGAACTTATGTGTGTTAATTCATCTCATTGGTGTTCGATCGTTGTAATTTTTCAGATAAACATCGTCTACCAGGAATGGATCAGCAGAGTGGAGGAACATATCCACAATATCCTGAAGTCCCCTTCATCATGTGTTTTCCACTGTTTAACTCTCAACTTAGTAACTCTCTCTTCGACAGAAATGTTTACGAAAATACTTTTCTCTCTCTGTTTTTGTAAATTAATTTTAATACGAATAAATGTGTGTGTGTGTCAGTTTCATTAACGGTGAATTGTTTTGTGAACAGATGCTTTTTGGTGAGAATGTGTTATTGAGTGTTAGTTTGCCGGGATTTGATTGATTATAGGTCCATCCACCAGTTGATGAGAGATGGAGAGCATTCGTAAGGCTGCAGGAATTACTGGGTGACTGCTTTCTCCTCGTTTGGCACTCTGCAGCAGAACGACCCCATTGGGGTTCACAATCAGTAACTGAATGGAGAGAGAGCTCCTCTTGTGACCAGAAAATGATGTAGTTGCCTCCTGTGGTTGCTTCCATCTTAAAAGTAACAAACTAGGAGAAATCAGCCATCCAGTGCTCCCTGCTGGTTATTCGAATGCTGATATCAGCTCTTGAGTGGATCAGTAACGTGCAAGCATCTTACAAACGTTTACATGAAGCGTGCAATTTCATGTCATTCCGCATAGCATTTTGAGCATTCTCCTCCGGTCCTAACACTTCTACACGCGTAACAGTGTAGTTCTCCTGTCCCAATGGCATTCTGTCATACCCTCAGTATCAGATAATATGCGTGATAGGGTGAACACAATTCTCGTCTGGTGCTGAGGAATAATGAAAGAATCTTCGATAATCAAGCTTAGTGACCACACCGAAGTTGCTCACAGAAATGAGATCCCTCCTACTGATGAATATTGACTGTTCCAAAGGATATGTGACTGTGATTCCGTCAGCGGCATATTGTGCAGTGTTCCGTATCGCGGACAGCCATTCCCCTTGTCACTTATCTACCTAAATCTTGAACATGAGAAATACGAGCAAAGTAACATGACGCTATTAGTTAATAGAATAACAAAACTAAGGGCTTCGATGTGAAAAGCGCTTGATAAATCAGTCCCTGTCACATATGTCACTGATTGTAAGCTACACTTCATATTTCAGACCATTACACAACCACACTCGTATACAATCAACGCACAACGATTCATGATCTTCTTGTTTATATTCAGATTCATTCTTATCACACATCTTTAACGACATTCATCACATTCTCGAGTATTATCCTCAGAGGATTTCGTCAATTCGATTGCATAACTACTCACTCCTTCCATTCTGAGTATAGTATTGAGTTTCAAGAGCTCACTTTCATCGCACTATCGTCTCTGCTTCAATTTCAGCTGGCTACGTTATGACTTTTCAAGATTTGATTTCCACTTCAAATAATCTCCATCATGTCATATTTAGACGCCAAACTCGTCCATCCCACAACATTCAAATTCCGGTCAATTACTTGTTGTAAGATGTTACCTGAATATCTGTTCAGGTCTGGGTCCAATCCAGATCCACTTCGTCTTGCATATCTTTTGAACAATAAGTGCGAAATTCTTCGGAAATAATTTGGGGATGATAATCTACCGATTAATGAAATCACGCGTTGACTGACACGTGAAATCCCGAATCACAGCAATTGTCTGAAGTACGGTACTATATTCAACATAAAGTATGAAATTTATTTACAAAGCTCAATTGTAAGGTGTCTGTTGCTGAATGACGTGAAAAGCACAGTCAATGTGTGTCAATCAGACAGAAACAGCTAAGCTGCGTCAAAGGCGACCCGTGCGTAGATTTGAACATCGTGCAATACCAAACACAGAAGAAAGGGATAAGAATGAACGATGTTCAACAGTGTGGGTGAATAAATGAGGAATGCACAGCGGATAATAATCAACTTAAAGAAATTAATTATTGTACACCACATATAGCATGAATACTTTAAGTGAGCGGAATTCGGCAGCCAGCGATAACATCATTCAGAATTAGCAAACACAACTGATACTACTTACTAGTTTTAGGTAGAATAAGTTTCAACGTAAAAGCAAGAATGACAGAGGACTGATGTGAAACGAATTCACAGTTGTTTTCGTATCAACCGCTTTCAGAGTCCACTTCTGCTTCTCATTTCTAGCTCTTTAAGATAGTTCGCAGATGAATGCACGGCAGCTAGCTAAGCATATATCACCGCCTTACATCTCCAATGGTGAAATACATTTCGTATTCTCGACAATCTATCAAGTATTCTGATTTGCATCCTACAAAGCTCTTGCTCAGAAAGAAGAAGTAAACTTGGCTAGATCGACATATACTTCCACTCACATACGAACGTATCTTAAGTAAGTGATTACGTCGCCACTATGCATTCTTTTCTTGACGAGTGTGACAAGGCACTGCATCATATAGAACCACTCAACCTTCTTCGTTGTTTCACATCTCCATACTGATTCCAGGATAACCAGCGAGTGGAATCCTTTCTTATTCTGACAGCCGCTGATGTCCACTTGTGACTGAATGGATGCTTCCCATGTGCCACAATAGGATGACTTCATTGAGATTTTCAGCATTCGCAGTGACTGCTGCTCGCTCCTAACGCATATCCTTCACTCAACCTCATCTCAAGAAATAACCATGCTCTGCAGTAACGTGAATTTTGACGATTCACACGGCATTACTGGAGGCAGTGATCGGGAAAAATGAGTATTTTGACAGTGGGAACGGAATACATGATTCGCAGAACGATAGTGGTGTCACTGAGACGCACGAATTGCATTCCACTGATGAGTCTCTGACTTAGCTCGACAAATGATTGGGAAACAGCAGTAATAGGTGAGCAGAGAATATGTAGACTTAACAAACGGAAGATAGGAGAGGAGGATTGTGTGTGAGATTATTGAGACTGCATGAAGAGTGCAAGCACACCGAAGAGAAGTAATCGCAGAGAACACAACCACAACACCAAAAAATCACAATGAAATAAGGAAGTATGTAAAGGCTGGTTGGTTGATTGTATCAACCAGCACATCTCCACAGAACAAGTTGACTTTGCATATACATGCACGTGATGCTCTAGACATCTGTTGAGGCTGTTGACTGCAGAGTTCGTATCAATGTTGACCAGCAGTGAATTCTATAGATGGGACACACAAAGGTAGGAAACGTGACACCTCAATTGTATTGTCATCGTCTGATGAGCAATGCTGCTAAGGTGGCCTCGAAGATTATCATTATGGTCTTCTTGTGATACTCCTTGGATCAGATATACTATGCTATGTGCTATTTTGTCTGCCATATTGAGGTCACAACTGCCTCTGAGATGACTGAGAAATTGCAGATCTAGCTGTCACCATCGGTCATCAAATATTGCATTTCAATTTGGGAGCAGTCAGTTCCAGATATGTGGTATGGTAACCTCTGTTGCTTCGTATGCACAGATGATCATCTCTCGATTTTTGAGCAGAGAATACACACGTATTAACACCTGAGTCATTCTTATCACCACCTGCAGAAATATTATCGTCATTATTTTGTTGTCATTAGAACAATCGAAATGAACTCAAAGACGTCTGTAAGACCAGGATTTGCCACATGCTTGTGTAATGGATGGAGGAGTTCACCTCGCCACTCACCGTTGACTACATTATGTAACCACTTCAATGAATTCATCCTTGTTGTTATTCTCATCATGATGTCGATTGTTTTCCACTAATTCATCTGCCTGATTTCTGATCCTTCATTTTACTAACCACAATCCCAATGAATGAATGAATGAAAAACAAAATGATATTGCTGTTCTTACTGACATTTCAATATTGAATGTTGCTAATAGCTTTATCGAAGTATTAATATTAAAGCGGAATTTGCAAAATATCAGCTTGAATATAACAACTTGATCGTCGGTCATCAGCATGGGGTCGTTTACTTTCACACTGTCAAGTCGGCCAATTGGTGAGGACAACAGAACCGAGTGAAGATTGTTGGATTTGATGAGCGTATACAATTATGAATGCAGCTTGTGTTTACACAGTGAAATTGCTTAACACATTCGAGTTGATTTTGTCATTTCATGGCGCGTGATGAGATTGGTTTTGTAACCAGGTCAAGTTCGCTTTTTCAGTCCAGCATTCCTATTCAAACAATTTTGATTCCATTTGACATGACGTGCTTCCGATATTAAACATGCGTTTTGATTGCTGAAATTTTTCTGGATGATTTCACTATTGTCACAATCAATATTGTGGCCCGATTGCACAGCGTGTAGACAGATCTATGGCTGATGATTTTTCAAGCTTTTCTAGTTCAAATCGATTTCATGGTAGTTGAAGAGAGTCGGGCACAGGGTGTTCATTTCCACTGATTTCGATGACTAGCTGTCGAGGTTTGTCCAATGTTTATCGCTTCACATTCCAAGTGAGCATTTTACTTTGTAGACACAATTAGACTGCGAATCTTCAATGATTCCATCTATTAGATGGACAAGGTTACTTTGTAGTGTGTCTGGTGTTTTCAGGTTAACTCTGATGTTTTGTATACTGACTTCTCTTTTCTGTCTTCAAGGCTTTCGTTCTTGGTCCAACAATACACCGGAAATGAGTCATCATTACAACAACAACTGAAATCTACTCAGTGTTCACTTAAGCACCATCGGCCATGAAATGCGCACAAATCATTAGCACTTCATCATTTCATATGAAAGTCGTAGCAGCTGGTGAGTGGATCTCAACTTCTTTGAATGAGAATATGTTCAGTGAGGTGAGTGGTTAATATATATGACAGTGTGAAATTTGTACTTGATTTTACAAGGTGGAATAAAGGGAATGAAGTGAGTACTTTCATTATCAGTGCTAGTTCTAAGATGGTGGTTGAGTGAGAAGAATTCTCAAAGTCTTCAGAGTTTTCTACAATGTTCAACTAATTAGAATAGTTCCCAATGCAGCGTGTGTTCAGATCACTTGAGTGTTTTATGGTAACATTGAGAAGGAGATGTGAGATGATAGGATCTAATTGAATTTGAGAATGTTGGAGAATGTATATTGTAATCCGTAAAGTTTCATCATGCAGTTTCCATTTGTTTTGGCTGAGAGATCATGGCCCATGACTATCCTGTCCTCATTGAACATCTAGTGTCTACTGAGTGGGTTAAGAACACAGTATTTAGGCACACGTTTGTCGTTCAATTCAACTAAGCAGGCATTTGTCATATGAATGGAACCTGTGCACTCTGGTAGAGTATAATTCCATTATGGGTAAAACGTGTTTTGATAAAGTCTTACACTGTTATAAATTAATATTTACTGATGATGTTTCGAGCACAATATTTTGTTGATTATCATATTAAGGAACTCCCAATTTTTAACTTCGTTTATATAATTCTAATTATTGTCCGTCACTTGATTTGATTGGTAGTAGTAGTATTTTCCATATTTCCGGTGTGAGTGATGAGTCACTGCATTCTAATGCACGTGTTGGGTGTGGACTCGATGATCAAGGATTCAGTGATCAACCTCTGTCTCCATCTACATATATTACTTCTTATATTTTAACCCTCTCCACCCTCTTGTGTGGTTGTGCGTTGTTAATGCATGCAGTGAGGTCGGCCATTCTAACCTTAGCTAGATTCTTATTTTCTGATAATCTCACTACTCCCTATCTACTAGTTTCTCCTGTGTAGTTGACCACAGTCACAGTCATTGCAAGGTATTTTGTAAATTATTTTGTCAAACTGGGTCAACATACCCTGTCTTTTAACCTACGGAGCTTGTCCCTTCTTCCTGAGTTTGTAGGTTTAAAAGCCACCAACCTAATTTCTGCTTTGTGATGATCCTACTACGTAGGCCCTCAGATGTTCCCTCCTTACATAGTAGTGAAATTATTAATGATAATAACACAAATGAGAAGGGATATAAACCATCTTGAGTTGTTTAGCTATATTATGAGAGGACATCTGATGTCCTACTAAGTAGGATTCTTCGTAAAGCAGTTATTTATTATTATTATTATTGTTCCCTTGGGTTCCTAGTGGAACATAGGGCTTCAACTGCACGTCTCCACTTGCTTCTGTCTTCTGCTGTACTTTTCACTTGCGTCCATGTTATTCCATACTGTTTCATCTCCTCCTTACACGATCTCCTCCATGTCACCCTTGGACGTCCCACTCGCCGCTTCCCTTTCGGGTTCCACTCGAGGGCTTGACGCGCGATGTCACTCAACGGCCTCCTCAGCGAGTGTCCAATCCATCTCCACTTCCTCCTCCATATTTGTTGGGCGATTGGTTCCTGTTTCGTTTGTTCCCATAGCTTCTTGTTTGTGATTCTTTCTGGCCATCTAATCTTCAGTATGGAGCGAAGACAGTTGTTGATAAAGGTCTGCAACCTGTTGAAAATATTCTTGGTGACTCGCCAGGTTTCTGATCCGTAAAGCAAAATTGACTTCACGTTTGTATTTAAAATTCGAATTTTGTTGTTGATGGTGAGTGACGAAGACTTCCAGATTGGTTTCAGGTTGATGATGAATGTGTTTCTCGCCTTCCCGATTCTCGCTCGATTTGAGATCCTCGTCCGTTCCCCCTGTAGTTGAGACAATGCTCCCTAGATAAGTGATAGAAGTAACCTCTTTCAAATCCCTCCCGTTGATGGTGATTGGCACTGGATGTTGCTGCTGTTGTTGGTTGGTTATTTTCATGACCTCTGTCTTGTCTATGTTCACCTTGAGTCCTGTCTTTGGTGCTTCTTCGACCAGTTTGTCGGTTTTTGCTTGTAAGTCTTCGATTTTGTGTGACATCAAACATAAATCATCCGCAAAATCCAGGTCTTCTAGGTTCTTCACGTCGGTCCAGGATATTCCTGTCTTTTCATTTCCCACTGTCTGGCGCATAATCCAGTCCACCACAATTAGGAATATCATTGGTGATAATAATCATCCTTGTCTGACTCCTGTGTTTACTCCAAACACTTCGCTGAGTTTTCCGTTGTGGATCACTTGACATGTGCCATTGTCGTACAGCTGTTGAATAAGGTTGATGAATATTTGGGGTACGCCGTAGTACTCGAGTAGTTTCCAAATTACTTCGCGGTCAACGCTGTCGAAGGCCTTCTCAAAGTCTATGAAGTTGAGGTAGAGATTTGATTGCCATTCCATGCTTTGTTCGATGATAATGCGTAGAGTTGCAATTTGGTCAGAACATGATTTGCCTTTCCTGAATCCGGCTTGTTCTAGTCGGAGTTCTGTATCCAGAGCGTCCTTGATTCTCTCCAGGATGATGCGACTCAGGATTTTACTTGGCGTCGACAGGAGCATGATTCCTCGCCAGTTCTTGCAGAGTCCCAGGTCGCCCTTCTTTGGTAAAGCAGTTATTTGTTTGGTGTCATTTAAACCCACAAACTCAGGAAGGAAGGACAGGCTCTGTTGCTAGGTTAAAGGACCATGTAGGTTGATCCAATTAGACAAAATAATAAAATTTACACAATATCTTGCAATGACTGTGACTGTGGTCAACTACAACACATGACAAACTATGAGATTCGGAAATTTAATTCACATCGCTGTTGCAAATTGAACAAGCAGAAATTCCATACGTTGGATTGTAAGAAGAAACGTACAAATTGAACTGTGGTTTGTAAGATCCGTTTTACTCTGATTAAAATTTGATTTTTACTCATCGCTTATCTGAGAAAGTTAGGCTGTTTATTTCATGTCTGACAAGCCGATCGATCACTCTAATGAATGCGTCAGAAGATCTGGATTTCATAAAACGAGACAGGAAGAATAAGAAGCGGTGATGTGAAGTAGATATCTCATTAGAGAAGTTCAGAAACAGGAATGGTATCTACAATGCAATCAAATAAGGAGGAGCTATCTAAAACCTGTGCATCCTGAATATGCGTTAAGCTACGGGTTATCTTCTCCAAAAAGGCAGCACTTGCCGAACTCCTTAAGTCAGTCAAGTATTGCATCGGAGGTATTCACCAATCTGTCATATGTGAAGTGAGGCAAAATCTTCAAATCATTGGGTCAATCCTAATGGTCCGGAGTGTGACGCTCAACCGAGTCATTATCACTGGTGACTTCCTGCCATCATCATTAAGCACTGGTTAGAATCATGTCTACAGAGCAGCTTTCAGTTTGGGAGGCAGTGAACACCTCAACGACTTCTTGATTACATGAAACCGTAATTAAAATAAACAGAAGTTGAGAGGGGAATGGCTAGCTTACCTCGTCAAAAGTAATTATCATGCTGGGAATGTACAATGAGAACCACCCATTGGCAAACAGTAGAATTTCGATGATTTCATATTCTGAATAGCTCTGCCAACCGAAGCTGTTATGGTGACGTCAATTCTGGGATCATGGGGAAAGCTATGGATTGAGAGACTCAACCATGAGACTGCTGTTCACTATCGGTGGATGAGCACTGGAAACAGGTGGAGAGAGTGATGAAGAAGGACATCAACAAACGGTCCACAGTGACAACTGCAACACCAAAAATGGAACTCACTGGATAGAGACACTCACATACAGTCCTCCTCAGAACAAAAGAAGGCCGTGTTGCACTTTTTTTTCTCCTTCACGTTCCCCAGTGGAACATAGGGCTTCAAGCTGGTAGCATGAAGTTTCTGTAGCAGTGTTTATTTTACAGGATGGGGTTGCTAGCCCCATGCCCAACCTTTCCTCTCCCCAGAATTATTTCTGGTTTAGCGAGGTAAAGGAGGGCTTCGGCCGGGGATCGTACCCCGGACCATGAGCATGGTCGGCGAGCGTCCTAACCGCTATGCCATCGACGTGTTGCACTTGAAGACTCTCAATTCCCTACCAAACCATCTTATGCTATTCTTTCATTCGAATTCAACTATATACCACTAACTAATAGTTAGTAGTATACAGCCTAACACAAAAGAAAGAATATCGAAGGTCACCAAGGAAAGGAATCTACACATTCACTACACATTGCTCCAGATAATCGATGCAATAATGGTCATCCAGGCAGTCGGTGAGCTTTCCAGGCAGACTATGCCAGGAAAATATAGACTGACCTCATTAATCTGCATCGGTTTAGTGCTGACGGAGAATAATTGGCCAGAATATGCGTGTGTAGTTTGGGACCAGTGTGGTGACTTTATGAGTTATCTAGAGACAGCTTAAGTCTTTGATGATGCATTTGAAGGCACCAAGAACTCAATGAAGCCTTCGTCTAGGTGTCTTATGAAGTCTCACTATGGAAATTCTCAAATATTGGAACTGACAGTCAATGGCTAGCTGGAATTGTAGCCTACTTGGTGAGCAGGGACATTTGCATGAAGTCGAGTCGCGCGTGTTCCACAAGGGGAATGATGACCACCTGAGTACGTTGAGCGATGCTCCCAGATCAACTGACATATAAGATCTTCAAAAACTACCTGGAACTGACTGCTTCCAAATTGAAATGCAATATTTGATGACCGAGCGCGACAGCTGGATCTGTAAATTCTCAGTCATCAAAGAGTTAGTAGTGACCTCACCATGGCAGACAAAATAGCACATAGCATAGTGTATCTGATTCAGGGAGTATCACAAGAAGACCATAATGATAATATTCGAGGACACCTTAGAAGCATTGCTCATCAGACGATGACAATACAAT